TTAAGGAGGGCACGTACTGCATGGAGCACTGGGTGTTATACGCAAACAATGAATCATGGAACACTACATCTAAAACTAATGATGTACTGTATGGTGACTAACACAACATCATAAAATAAAATAATTTAAAAAAAGGAAATGCTGGAAGCATCCTCTTTAAAATCAGGAATGAGATCACTATCATTGCTTCTTCTTAACATTGTATTGAAGGCTCCACTAATAGCAAATGCCTAATAAAGTAAGTCTTCCTGGTGTCTGTGCTGAGCCTATGTCTCAGTTGACTTTGCTAAGTCAGCATCTACCTGATACTACATGTGCCCCTTCCTTGGTATCTTCTTCTTGGCATGGGCTGCCCAATGGAGTCATCAGTCTTTAAGTTTACTGATGCCTGAGTTTCATCCCTAGAAATTCCTTTTTGATCGATCTGGGATACAGCATGAGCATCGGGATTTTCAAAATCTCCCAGGCGACTGTAATGCACAGCTCTCAGGTTGGCACACTGAAGTAATACGAGAGGAGGAGAGAAGAGGAGAGAAGGCGAGGGTAGAGCAGGGATTCTCAAAGCTGGCTGCACACTACAATCATCTAAGGAGCTTTTAAAGCACCCGCTGCCCAGATTGCATTCTATACCTGTTCTTTAGATCAGAATTTCTGGAGGGAGGATTCCCAAAGCTTTCTTCTCTGCAGCCAACATTGAGAACTACAGCCCTCTAGTTTCTCCCTAGGCAATGTAATCAGCTCTCCTGGATTCAACTAAACATAGGTCAGTGGCTTCAAAATCTGTATGTCTTGCCTACAGTCACCTCCTAAACATGAACACTTTAAATCCAACAGCCAGGGGCACCTGGGTGGCTCAGTCAGTTAAGCGTCTGTCTTCAGCTCAGGTCATGATCCCAGGGTCCTGGGATCGAGTCCCACATCGGGCTCCCTGCTCAGCGGGGAGTCTGCTTCTCCCTCTCCCTCTGCCTGCAGCTCCCCCTGCTTGTGCTCTGTCAAATAAATAAAAATTTAAAAAATCTTTAAAAAATAAAATAAAATAAAAACATAAAAAAAAGGGAAAAGGGATCTTTTTGGGGGGACAGGGGAAGAGAATCCTAGAGAGTAAAGGTTCACACACTTGTGGGTTTCAACGTTACTGAACACCATCATCCCTGTGAGATGTGAGTAGTGAACTGACATTCAGATACACCCTACCACTCAACCCCAATGTGTAATTGCCAGAAGATCTCTACATTATGGTCACTAATGGATTAGAAAAAACAGGTATCTGGAGACACTCTCGCTAGGAGGCACCCCTCCCCGGCTGGAAGTGGTCTCCACCAGCGGCTGAATGGAAGAGGCCTTGGCTGTGGACAGCCTCTTTAGGACGTCGGAGATGATGATACTCAGCAGGCCATGGGGGCTTTACCTGGATAGAGGGAAAGCTGACCGCAGCAACCTTCGCTTTCACAGTGTTGGTGAGGACCAGTGCCCTCTAACTACAGATATGCCCCTTCACCACGAAAGAGGTGGTGAGCTGTACATTGTACATTGAGCTGGAAATTGTACTATGTTTCTGAACGACATTGAAAAAATTCCCTTTTCTCTGTCCCCGTCACCTTACTCCCAACCCTAGGAAAACATTTTTTAAAGTATCTCTACTTCAGTCCACGGCTTAATGGTGAGTGGTAGTTATCTAATGCTGAGTAACGAATTACCTTGAAACCTAGCAGCTTGAAACAACAAATGTTATCTCTCCGCTTGTGTGGGTCGGATTAGCTCTGGTTCCAAGTCTCTCCTCAGGTTGCGGTCAGGCTGTCAGCAAGGGCTGCTGGCCCAGCTGTGAGGACGCTGTCACCACTGGCCCCTGTCCATGGGCCTGCCTCACAGCCTGGCATCTGCCTTCCCCTCCCCCCACCACCCCGGGGCAAGTGATGCAAGAGAGAGGGGGCACCCAAAACAGAAGCCACCGTCTTCCTGACCTTTTTTAAGTGAAGGAGGCTATTATAAAAACACCCCTTCTTTTCCTGCCTTAAGTTTGTAACCAGTTGAGATATAGATCCAGGAGTCAGGGAGATGTTGAACATTTTCACAGATTAAGCAGAGAGCGGAGAACACGGCTTAAGTCGGCCATGACAACGGGTCTGCTAATCCTGTATCCCAGGAGTGGACTTTCTCAGTTATAGGCAGTGCTAACTACCTGTGGGCCTTCACCTGGCACGGCCAGGGCTTATAAAACAAGGACCAGAGGAGGAGTGCTGTTTGCGGAAGGGGGCAGATTCATGGAGAAGGGGCCATCTCTTCTCCCAAATTCACCACCCCGGTAAGGATCCGTCCAGAGAGAAGCCAGGTGTTACTCCAGCAGAGATCCCCCCACACGGAAAATAGGAAGGGCAGAAAATAAACATTCTCCCAATCCGAAGACAACACCAAGGCCCGATCCATAAAGAACAAACTGAAGTATTTGACCAGACAAAATGTCTACATGTAAAGAATATATGTAAATATATATGACATGTATATAGTAATAACAAGACATACAGATATATTCAATTCTCGTTCTTTGCTGTAGGTATGGTCTATAAAGTCATCATGAACTCTGAAGTAGCAAAGACTGAGACATTACTCCTGGGGGAAATACAGCACGGGGTTCTTGCAAGCCTTGGATCCCAACATTTTTGTCAACCAATCAATACATAACCTTATTTGATGTGTGTTTCTGTTTAAAGATGCCTCATTTCATATGCATTGTTGATTCGCTAACACTGAAATCCCAGCCAACAGCTGCTGTAACTCATGCCTGAATGAAGCTCATGCGTTTTCTCGGTGAGGCACCTCACAGCCTTCTTGCAGTAGGAACTAGACAGCACTCCAGTACTGCCCTGAGGGCCATTTTAAGCAGTGAAATTTCCAACAAAACAAGCACAAAAATGTGAAAAATGTGGCACCACATAGGCTGTGAAAGGACACTTGTTTACAGTACGAGAGGTGAGCCGAGAAGGTGAAGGGTTGCATTGTTGGACCTTGGCCGGGACCGGTCGTGTCATGCAATCCAAATTTTTCACTGCTCTGCCCATGTCCGCAAATGATCACAAAACACCACAAATATTGATTCGGGGTTACAAGTAATTTTTAGTGAGTAGGCAAATTTGCAAGCACAGAATGGACAAATAATGAGGATTGACTGCAAACACACACACACACACACACACGCTTCAAGGGCAGATGACAAAATAAGAATGCCTTCCCAGATGTCAGATAAAAGATGTATTAATTACTACATTAAGAGATTTTGTAAATTAAAACAAAAAGGCAAATATCCCGATAGAAAAAAAACAAAATCAAAGGACTTATTCAGGTAATACATGCTTGAAGAAATGCACATAATTTCTAGAGAAAGAAAGCCCTTCACAATGTTTAAATGATACACCACCTCTTCCTTCATACAAGTTCCCACACTGCAGGTAGGAGTAGAAACTGTGCATAAGCCATTCTGGAAAACAGTGAGGCAAGGCTTTAGAAAGCTCATCTCTTTTAAACCAGTATTTCCAGTTTTAGTAAAATAAATAAATAAATTAGTGCAAAGATATATGTCCATTGATATTCTTTTCCACTGTTTATAATAATAAAGGGAAATGTATTTCTAAAAACAAAACACTAATTAAATTATGACATATCCGTGGAATACTGTAGATGTTAAAAATGGTGTTAAAATATGTTTTGACATGACAGGTACACTTTTCTTCTGTAATTTTATTTTAAATAATTAAAAAACATTGTCACGGAGAATTGCTCCCAATATATTTGTAAGTGAAAAAAATTATAAAACAATATTCACAACATGGTCTCATTTTCATGGGACCACAGGTATGTTCACCAAAATGTTAAGAGTAGTTGTCTCTTTAGGGTGGGAATATCAGTGTTTCTTAAAATGTCTTGTCTTTCTTTTCAAATTATGTCTGCAATGATCATCTGCCTGGTTACCATCTGCAATGATCTTAGATTCAGGTAAAAATTGATCCTTGTCTTGCTGCTTCCAAGATACTAAAGCATTTTCCCCATTTCAAAAAAATCAGTTGCACTCATAGATTAATAGGTTTGATCAGGAAAATGACCTTTGATGGCCGGCTTATGAGAAACTGTGGTTTTCCTTATATGTCCTTTTCTGCCTTCAGATCTATGCCCTGTTCCCTGGATTTGAGCGGTAGAGTCTCAGGCAGAAGGCTGAACCTCACACACACAGAACAACACGTGGATGTGATTACATTCTAAGTGGGCTTTTCCTGCTCCCCGTGCAGAGCACGATGAACACAATCTAGCAGTTCGGTGTGCTGTGGGCCTTTTGTCATTTCGCAGTGTGCTGTTGGCAGCTCTTCCCGATGAGGCTATCTGCATGGCTGCTGGGGAAGGTGTGGTAAGAGAAGATGTCTTGCCCTCTCCCCATATGGAGCTCTTCTGCAGAATGTATGCCCTGCTATGTCCCGAACTATTAATAGAGCCATGCTGCTCTCTCCCCCATGCTGCTAGAGTCTCTTTAAAAGATGCTGTCTAGATTCTAGATTTTTATGCAGGCATTCTGATTCCCATAGCTCCTCCTCTCCTTCAACCTTGCTGAGCATAATCTGAACCTATTTTCAAATCTGGAGGAGTCTATTTTTTTATGACAATATATCCTTTAGAGATAGGTCTCCAGCCTATCTAAATGATGATGGATGGCTCTTTACCAACAAAAACTTAGGTTTTTTTGAGCAGGTCTGGCGAGCACCACGTCCTTCGAGTCAGGTATTAACGAGGAGACCCATCATCCCCGGCCTGGAGGAACTTTTTATCCAAAGAGGAGCTCACCAGTTCCCTCAGTTAATATCCTCCATCTGAAGGAATTCTTCCCCACAGGTAGTCCATGTTCATCTTCCAGGTCGCATATCCCTTTCTACTGAGAGACTGCGAAATTTCCTCAGGTCTTTCAGGAAAAGTTGATCTGAATAAACACACTCAGATCGGCCTGTCACATCCACCAGACACTGGGCATTTTCCTGGACTCTCTTGAGCCTACAGTCTCGAGTTCTAAGGACATCTCAGACCCTGGGTATGCTCTCCTCTTTAGCACACCAAAAGCTTGGTGGAAGCTGAGTGTATTGATTATGACACTGGAAGGATATTGAGAGATTTTTCTCTCCAACTCAATGCTAAAAGGTGGCACGTAGCCAGAGCTGGGAAAGTCAGTGTTTGTACAATACTCTATTATATGTTGTTTAAGAAAAAAAAAGAGAGAAGCAAATCAATAATGACATTTTAAGATGTAGGTCATTCTTTTTTACGGGACTCCGCCTAACTTTGTGGACTGAGCGTGGCTTCAGAGTCGGGCAGGCGAGGTTTCATTTCCTGTTTCACTACTTACTAATTCAATGCTGTTGGGCCTGCTACTTACTATCTCTTCACAGCACAGTCTTATAAATGAAGGAGCCAATGAAAGAATGCCAACCTGGTAGGGTTGCAGTGAGATTAAATTAGATAACACATGTAAAGTGTGTAGTAGCGCATGTTCAGTTAGTCATTCCTCTTAGAGGTGTGAGTGACCTTGAAGGAAAACCACTTTCTGCTTCACTGGTATACAGTAACTCATATATTGAGCAAGGTTTATTGAACTGCAGCTAAAAGCCAAACTTACATAACCACTGGGGAGTGAGTGTGTGGGGTCTGGGGTAGCGGGGGTTTGGGCAGGAGGGAAGCATGGAAGTCAGTCTCACCATCCAACAGGAAAGGACAAGCAGATTAACACACAAACACGGTCGGTGGGGTAACTCTGGAGCAGATGTACTACGCACAGAAATTTACAGCAGGGGCTCGTTAATGTCTGATTGTTGCATTCAGGGAAGGCTTCATAGAGGAGATGAAGAGCTGTTTCTTTTTCTTTTTAAGATTTTCTTTATTTATTTGAGAGAGAGAGAGCGTGCGCGCATGAGTAGGGAGGAAGGGGGAGGGGCAGAGGGCGAGGGAGAAGCAGCAGGGAGCAAGGCGGGGTTCGATCCCAGGACCCTGAAATCATGACCTGAGCCGAAGGCAGACACTTAACTTACTGAGCTACCCAGGCGCCCCAAATAGTTGCTTCTTAAAGCTTGAATGCAAGTTCCCAGACAGAGGTGGAAAGAGAAAGACCCTCAGAATTATTTGATCATGAACAATTCATGGAAGGCCCTACTCTAACACAATGTGATGCACATGGTAGATACTCGGTGAGTATTTAATGAGCTTACCATCTAGACAAGGTGAAGATACATAAAGGTACATATATGTACTAGATACTAATTTCACACATCTTAACCACTGCTGTGCAAAAAATAAAGACTTTTTTTCCCCACTAAAGCTCATCCTTGTTTGTCAAGCTCCATACTTTTTGATATAGGAAATGTGATCTAGTCATTTTTGGCTCATCACTTCCAGTTAATTTAGCAAATACTTTCAAAGTCAGGGCACCTGGGTGGCTCAGTCAGTTAAGCGTCTGCCTTTGTCTCAGGTCATGATCTCAGGGTCCTGGGATCAAGTCCCACATCAGGCTCCCTGCTCAGTGGGGAGCCTGCTTCTTCCTCTCCCTCTGCTCCTCCTCTGCTCATGCTCACTGGCTCGTTCTCTCCCTCTCTCTCAAATAAATAAAATCTTAAAAAAAAAAATACTTTCTTAGTCATTTCAGGAAATGACTTTGCACATTCAGGATTCTGCCCCTCCCTTACCCTTTTCCAGGGATTATCTTCTTGATCTGTCAAATGGAGCTATTTACCTACTTTGGTGTAAATTTTAGAAATAATGTTTATATATCCCATAATACTAAGGCACAGAGTATGTGCCCCATATGTGAGAGCAACAGCAATTATCTCCTTCACCCTACCTAGATCAAGGACACTCTTGGAAACTGCAAGCCCAGTGAAAAAGAATGTCACCTTTTTCCACAAGCTAAATAAATGTAATGGATCATAGAATGGCATAGAGAAAGTACAGGTTTCCTCTCACCCTGATAACTGAATACCCAAACCCTACAATTCCCTGCCAACAATTACACCGTACATCCTCAACCAAGCAGAGCCCCACTTACTGTGCTGCTGGAAAGAGAGCTCAAGCCACAGCTGACTTAGGTTAAGACTCTTTTTTAAAGTATAGCACAGTGAAACACAAATCTGCTTAGCAATTCTCTGGATAATTATGAACTGTGTATCAATAAAAGTTCAACCACAGGAATTTTATCTAATCAATTTTACTTGATCCATTTAATAGTTTTAAGGAATGCCTCATGGTCAGGAAGGCTTTTGCGATTCCCTAATGAGTTACTTAAACCTTCTGGACCCAGGAAGCTCAATGTTAGCAGAAATAAATCAGCACAAGGTCATTGACTAGGATTTTGGCCAAAGTTCCAAGATGGTGATATCACATTAACCTTAAAATTTGGCAGGACAGTTCCACTCATAGATAACCCTAGACTGTATTAGCAAACAATTAAGCAAACTATTTGCTTATGTAATAAGGTGAGGTTAAAGGGAGTAAGGTAACTACTTTGTAAGCTTCACAGTCTTCAAGCAACCCAACGATAAGACACTGTGTGTGTGACTAGGTGGTAGAAGACCTAGAAAGAGTCAATTAGGTAATAAAGAAGATGATT